ATGGCGAATCAAAAACTGGCACTATAATAAATATACTATTATAATTAACATTGTAATTAATTCTAACATTATAATTTCCAGAACTGATAAGGGCGGACAGATCGCTGTTACGGACAAACACACACACATTGATGGAGTCACAAATCTGATAAATGAAGGTCCATACTGCCAAATCCCTAAAGATCCTTCAACTTTGACCTCAACCTCATGAAAGTTAAAACAGCTGTGAAATCTTCTCATACGCTCCCAGCTCAGTTTAAAATATCACTCAATACATCAATTACTAATTGTGCTTTATGCTCTACACAAAATCCACAAAATTCGAATTTCTCATCGACCCATAGTTTCAACCAAGGAACGGGATCATATCCTTTGGTTAAATATTTAGTTTAAACACTTTCTCTTTTACATTTTAACATTATTTACACTGTAAGACATTCTTTCGAAATCGTCGATAAAATTGACGCTGTTTCTCTGCACTCAGTTATGATTTCTTTTTGATGTTAAATCATTGTTTAGTAAATCACTGTTTTGCAGTCGAAGAAGCAGTAAAATGTCGTGAAACTAGGCTTGGAGGACTCCATTTCATACATATTGTGTAGAGTCATTAGGTTAATTGGAAGCAGAAAAGATGAAAAAAACGAAACCGCCTTCGCCGGGAATCGAACCATGGACCTCTGGAATACCGGCCCAGCGTGCTACCGTTACACCACGAAGGCACGCTAGGGAAGTGGAAGAAATACCTTATAACTGAAATTGAAGAGTTAATTTCTCTTACTAAAATCTCTTTGGGTCAAAGCCACTTTGTTTCCCAAAATGAATATTGTCTCCAAATTGCATATTATCGTCAAAATAGGGCATATAAATGTCAGCAAGTATTAGTCCTATACTTGCTGACATTTACATGCCCTATTTTGAGGTCATATTATTTGAGAAATTATCTTCTTGTCTCTAGTTTCGCCTGTAAACGACACTTTTGCGCTTTAAGAGTTAATTTCTCTTACTAAAATCTCTTTGGGTCAAAGCCACTTTGTTTCCGAAAATGAATATTGTCTCCAAATTGCATATTGTCATCAAAATAGGGCATATAAATGTCAGCAAGTATTAGTCCTATACTTGCTGACATTTACATGCCCTATTTTGAGGTCAGATTATTTGAGAAATTATCTTTTTGTCTCTAGTTTCGCCTGTAAACGACACTTTTGCGCTTTTTGATGGTAATGAAGAAGATTTATTTTTGGATGGGTTCAAGGGATCTAAGCATTCAATTCCCTTTTGAAACTGGATCTGATAATACCTTGATATTTTACAATCCGAAATGAATCATATTAATATAATAATAATAATCAGAATAATTCTTTTGCATTTAGTTTCCCCTATAGCATGATAATAAAGTACGTATTTAGTTAGATGTATACTTACTTATATACGTAGAGAAATGCTTAGCAAATGCATGATCTTCTGTAAATTTAATAACTTGGAGTACTTTAAACAAGAAACAGCAAAAACATATAGATGCAAGGTAGAGGGTATCTTGAAAAGGAATGACTGTTTTTAGAATGAAATAGCAAATAAACAATGACAGTTGCTAAGTTAAAAATGTTAAGTTATTCTTACAGGATATTAATGGCTGAAGTCAACAATGCTTTTAGAAAGCTTCCTTCTTGTTAATACCAAATTGCAGTGACAGAGACCATGCAGCATCATAGCACTTTATTCGAGTATCCAGGGGAAAAATACTTTTTTTACGAATGAAATGCTGCAATTCATTGAAAAGCGCAACTTTTCTGACTAAGCACATTTTCATTTGGATAGCTGCGTCAATAAACAAAACTGGCAGATCTTGGGAACGGAGAACCCTTGTCTGCGTTCCGCGATCGCCATATGCAAAGCTTTTCATGAATGAGCAACTTTATCCAACAACAGCATCTTTAGACCCATCTTTCTGTAGAACACAGTGAATTCAAACCGTGCACGAATTTGTGCCTATCTATAAAGCTTTGACCTATTCTTCAGAAGCAATATGGTATATCTAAGATTGTGCGAAATGTCACCAAACTTATGAGATTTTCCAATTTTCACTTTTCTGTAGGAATATTTTGATAACTGCATCATTGCATCGCTTTACGCCAATGCAAAAGACAAGGGTTACGGATTACCCACCATATTTGCCGTATCTCAGTACGAGAGATTTCTTCCATGGGCACAACTTGAAAGACGCGAGATATTGAGAGAAACTCATCACGCAGAACTAGAACAAACCATCGGCTCAGGCAAACATTTTGTTCGCAGTGTAGGTTCCCGCGCAACTTGGCGCTACCTCGGAGTATCTAGATGCCGATTTTCGATTATTTGAAGCTTCGAACGTAAGTAAGAATCCTAATAAATAACTGCGGATGAAAGATAAAAAATGACAGTTGCTAAGTTAAATAGCAAAGATAGGTATAATCTCATGGATAGTCCTTGGCGTAAAAAATATGAGAGACGACAGAGACCAGCGTGCTACGGCTGTAGCCGATCGACCAATTCAGGCGGAGAAAGGTGTAAGTAAGTACATAATGGTACCGTGCAAAGCAAAGAAATGCCAGTAGTTGCAATAGGGTCAGAGAAAAAAAAGTCAAATGTGTGACATACATATATACATACATAAATCTATCTGACGACATTATACAAAAAGTGTATACAAAGTGTACATTAGTAAAGTGATAGGTACAGGGATATAGGCACAAGGTATGGAGTATGCATAATAATAATTGAGGCATATGAGGTATTCATAGAAAGAGATAATACATATATATATTTATTAATTTTTTCCCTTTTTTGAGTTAATTCTCATTCACATGATGTTAATATTGATTAATTTAGATGTCTAAGTACCGCAAGCGGTCGCTTTCTGTTTTTCCCGTCATAATTCAACATCTGAATAGTGGGGTTTTGAGTTAATGTCATTTTACTAAAGAATCTTTCGGCAAGAGTTGCCATGTAGACATAGATTTCTGGTATTTTGAATTATCTGTGGACTGCCAAGTTTCTAATAAACCACGGACAATCCACAGCTTGTCTTAATACAACATTCTACAGTACTTGCAGTCTTTTGATTGCAGTATCATTAGCATACCCCCAGACAGGGCAGGCATAAGTAATTATGGAACGTAGCATGGTTTTATAAATGAGTAATTTAGTATCAATAGATAAAACGCTGTTTCGAGCAATTATGGGGGCGAGTGTCTGTTTACGCACTCGGAACTTGGTAATAAGTTGCATGATATGTGGGGTCCATGATAAGCATTGGTAGAGAATAATACCAAGGTAGCGGGCCTGCTTGGTCCATGGGATTGGGGTGCTATGCATATTAACATGGATGCTGTAGTCTATATTTTTTTTTCTCGTGAAGAGTATAGCATCAGATTTCTCCACATTGATCTTAATTTTCCATACCAGGAGCCAGGACTCCAGTGTGTGGATGAACCGTCAGTCACGAAAGCGAAGAATGTTTCTGTTAATAATGCTGCAGAACGTGTCTGCTAATACTGTATTTTGCTTACAATGAATAAATGGTTTGAATGGTAAATATTTCGAGAAAATTTTGCTGTGATTTTCAAAAGTATTCTAATAATTGATAGCTTTAAAACCTGATGATGACATTTGGCATTAACATAGGCTAATGAAGTACTTCTACTTCTCTCGTTTATTAAGAAAAGAAGCGAAATAATTGTATAATCATTATTACAATAGACCTTTGTCCCGAGAAAATAATGGCTTGAACGTTTACATGTATCAAGAAATCAAGGCATCAAATATTTGTATGGTTTTAAAAATATTTTTACATATCAAGTTTTACAGTAATATAAGTTTTAACAGTAAACTCTCCTTTGAGGTGTCTGCCTATAATATGAAGCTTCAAGATTGCAGCCTCTTTTTAAGCAGAATATTTTAAAGAGCTTCATGTTACTCAGAACCCTTCAAAGTTATTTATCTGCAACTTATATAACAAAATAACCTTAAATTTTGTATCGGAAAAAATAAAACTCGATGAAGTGCAAATACGCTGCTGTATAATTTTTTCTGGTTCATGAAATCTGCAGACAGAATGGTATATGCACTCTTCTTTGTGGGAAGTCTTCGCTTTGACCATTAAAGATTTCGTTAAATTTATAGCGGACCCTTAAAAATATTACAAAACTTTTATATGTAAAGAAAAGAGTAATAAAAGAGAAATATTATGGTTATTTTTATATTAAGTGTATGCGCTTCTTTGCGAATTTGGCTTATAAAGATATGAAACTTTTTGTACCTAATTTATTTGATGGAAATAATTCTACGAATTTATTATTGAAATATTCGAAATATTTGATATAATTTTCTTTATTGATTGAAATATTTGATATAATTTTCTTTATGATTTTGAGGAACTTTTTAATTGGAATTACATATCTCAGATTAATATTTAAAAAGGTAAGATTCATAGTCATATTTTCAGAGTTCATTTTATATTCCTGACAGGGGCAAACTAGAGAAAAGGGTTTAATGATGTTAATTTCATAATATTCAATTATAGTGTTGAATAAAGAAAATCCATTTTCGTGGTATGGATATGATATAAAATTATGTGCTAAGGGAAAATTTAGCATTATTTTGCTATTTTATATCCCACCCTCCTTTTTTTTACTATTACTATTTCATTATTACAAATTTTTGCTGTTCGTCAGCTCTTTAGTCGACAACCTAATCGCTTAAATTTACAAGTGGGTTCTAAGAGTGACGTTTTCTCAGTGTCAAAGCTGATTGTTGACGATTCGTGATTCATAAAAGAGTGCCTAACACATGTTACGTGAGACAGTCTCGTAACCCCCAGCTCCTTTTAATCCTTTCCATCTCATCCATTGACAGAGTAAAAGGAGGTGTAGGACGGAGGCGGGTGAGGCAGCCTCTAATCGCATCAAAGGAAGCTCGGCTTGGCGCGTGCGCAGAATTTAACGGTCGCGACGCCTTTTCCCCGCAGTGCCTAGGTGGAGCTTCTCTCCAAGGATGGAGTGTAGGTAGCCAAGGAGGCCGAAAACAAGATGGCCGATGGGGAAGAGATGCGGTTTAATAATGACGGTCTCGGGCCCTCTCCTTTTAAATCTCGGGCCCGGAAAGGGGCCCTGAAAAAGAAAAATGTCATTTGCGTCAAAGATCACCGTTTCATTCCTAGATTTTTCAAACAACCGACGTTCTGCAGCCACTGCAAAGATTTCATCTGGTGAGTACTTTGGTCTCTCTCTCCTTCGACTCCGCGTGTTCTCAGGTCGTTATAACCTAGGAGTGGGAGAGGTGGGGTAAGCCTCGTTTCACTGTCCCCCTCTTCCGTTTTCTGCCTCTCGAGGTTACGAGTTTCCACTGTGCCAAGAGTTGATGTAATATGCTTGATCAGTCTGAATGCCTGAACCCTTTACAGTAGCTGCGAGTTTTATTTTTTTAGATGAAGTTCTTCGTAAGGATAAAGGAATAAAAAGTTATCATCACATTTAAAATTCAATGAAAACGTTGCTTATCTTCAGAGTGACATAAAATAAAATATTATTTGATCTTAGAGTTTTGATATTTAGTAATGGAATTCTAAGAATAATTAATTTACTTTCAACCTGTCCTATAAAATAAGAAATCCGCGTACATTCTCACTTCTGAATGGCTTTGCTAAATTTCATTTTTATCTGTCCTTATTTCTACTATTTAGATAAATGTAAATGAAATTATAATAATTAAAAAATAATGTACACTGGTATTTAAACATTAAAACCGCATTATTTTTCGCTAGCGTTTAAATTAATTTTGTTTACACATGTAAAATACTTTTCTGAACAGCATAACATAATACTTCTGAGATTATGGCATTTATAAACATAATAAATGTTTCACAAGTACAAAATACATTTTAATCGCTTTTTAACTTTCCTACTTTTCTTCTCTTTTGCATAATACTCTTTTACATAATACATAATACTCCTATAAGAAGTTAAAATATATCGACGAAAATGTAAAGTATTTTCACAAGTACCCTGAGACGATATTTTTGTATCTAGTTAATAGATGTGGTAAGCAGTACATAAGACTAAAAGCGGATTTATGTTTCAAAATATTGCACAGTTTTTTTTTATAAAATTTTAAGAATAGTGCAGTAGATGAGGGTATTTTGATCTGATACTTTTATTGAAAGCTTTAAAAATAATAAAAACAGAAAATTCTGAAACATACATTTGAAATTTTTATTCAAATTAGCAGATACATATTCAGATTTATTATGAATTTATGATAAGACAAACATTTTCTGTATAAATTACTTTTGGAAGAAATGATCGTAAAGTACATAAAAGATGGTATAGAAATATCTCTGAAAATATTTTAAAAGCAATTTTAAATTCAGCATAAATTGCAATGGAATCTATTAAATTAATTAATAAGCACTTTCTTTTATATAATCTTCAAGTTTTAAATACTTAAATAACTTCCGTATTTTTAGTATATTTATCCTTTAACTATACTAATAAAGAAACTGAATAGATCCGAAAAGAAATTTATAATTAATTTCAAATGTTTTTTTCTCATTAAAGAGTTAAAATGCTTTAAAGTGTAGCTTTTATAAGAGTACTGATTTAGTATTTAGCTTTTCTGAAATTGTAGTTAATTCAGTTGAATATAAAGTAATGTTTTTCGTTTTTTTAAGTGAATTAATTGACATTGTCTATTATTACTCTTGAATACTTTTAGATAGTATGTATTACGAAATGTGATAGGTAATAAAAGCAATATCTATAATATTTAGTTAGAGGAAAACGTTTGCGTGCTATATATTTCTATCATAACTCTTTGTAAGAGTATATAATAGATCTATAAGATAACTGCTATTATAATATCTCAAAGATTAACCCCACAGATAAGGAATATTAAAACAAAAGAGCAAAAATTAATTCATGAAAAATTAGAAAGCTGAAGTGTAAGTAGAGAAGGAAAAACACAATATATGTCACAAAACAAAAACTAAGCACGATATTAATAGCAAATTTTTAATTATAATACAAAACAAACTATATTTTGAAGCTGTTAAACATACCAAGTTGAAAATAGTTAATATATCTATCTATGTTGCTCAAGACTTTTGGAATATTTTAGTAATAGTTCTCATATGTAATTTCAAGTCGAATTTCCTGTCACATCCTCGTGAGATCAGGTAATTTTATCTTTTTGATAAACTGTCGATTGAAAGCGAGATAGACAAAGTTACCATTTTTTATGAATAATCTTTTAACAGGCTAAAAGGAAATAAGATTCTCGTACTCACAGTTAAAAATTACTCTTCGAAAAAGGTAATTTGACCAATCCCATCTGTAATCGCTGCACGAAAGGGCTACGAACATACGGCTGGACAGATATGGTTTAAAAACAGCCCTATATGTTTACATTTAAGGATGAGAAGCGAGTATTTAAGTTGTTATATAAATACAGCGAAATGTCTTGGAATAGACGAGCCACAGATCCACACGATTTCGGTCTTCTTTTTCATGATCATCATAAATAACATCGCTGTCGGTGATGTTCAATACCGTTATTTAATTATCTTCTCAAACATAGCCACTTTTAAAAGCAGTCACCGTGAAAGCTTTCAGTGTTTTTAATTTTAAATCAATTAACTGATGTCTTTGACATTTAGAAGTTTGATATTTATGTTGCCTTAGCCATGTGATTAGAATCCTAACTAAACTGTTCGTAAAGGAAACTTAATAATTTTAAGTTTTTAAATTATATTTAACAGAAAAGTTTATTAAAATTAAATGCTTCGCTCTTTTTGTCTATCGTTTTACACAGGCTGCCAAGAAATACATTTCAGAGTTTCAGCTTTCATGTCTGTTGGTTTATCATCCATAAATATCGCATTTCTGACACAGGGAATAAAATTTGTCAAAGTTTACCAATTTTTAGAAATATTTCTAAAAAATGGTAATTTTATTAATTTTTTTCGGCAAGGTCTTAATTCAATTTTTTACGCATATTAACTTGAAGAAGTATTTATTGGCTATTCCTTCCCTTTCGGGGCTGACGAAATTTTATTTCCTTGCATTTTAGTCTCGAAATATGTATAGAACTTTTAAGTAGAAGGAATTAATTTTAAGATTAGGGATAATTAAGTTTGTAAACCACCCGAATCGCATCTTTTTCAACTGAATGATTTCGCAACATTTTTGGAAGTTCTGTCGATATATTAATTCTTTTATATTATATTTGCAACTGATAAATAGAAAAATCATCAAAACTTTTAAAACTTGTGACGCATCGTTGGAAAAATAGCGGAAGTTTCCTCATATTTTTTTTTCTTTCAGTCTATTTTAATATTCATAATGCATTAACTAAAAAGTTGAGAAAATTATGTGCTTACCTGCTTGGAAGCTGCACATTATCAAGTTTTCCTATCAGCATTTTAAAACCCGTTGATATCTTGAATGCAAGTGCAGGATTTTGCCCCTCAAGCAATCTTATTCTTATGAAAAAGTTTTTTTAATTACTGAAATCATTCTATTAATATCTGAAGCAAAATTTTCCCTTAAAATTAAAAAAAATCATATTTTAAGTTAGTGTTGTTCTTCTAACTGCATTTCGCTTTTTTAATTGAAACTATTGCTTAAGGTATTAAAAAGTAATTAAAAGCCTACATTCTTTTTGATAATTTTAATTCTGTTTCGAGGCTCAAAAAATAAAATTTTGCAACAATGTTATTTTTAGATGTTTAAGTTTTAGCAAAACAATAATTGACTTTCTATGGTTAAAGATTTTGCTGTAGAAATGCTTAGTTTTAATCAAGCAGTAGTTGAAATTTCGTGATTAAAGATGATACTCAAGAAAAATTCAGTTTCTTAAAATAAAAGTAATTCAATTTTTAGGATTAAAGATAAGCTTCAGGAACGATACGTCTTTAGCTATGCAGTAATGGACTATTTAAAATATTTTTAGAAAAATTAGTGTTCAACTGAGAAACAATTAATTTTTTATGATTTCAACCTTCAGTTCTAAAGTATTTAAAAGGGCGGGGGGGGGGGGAGTAAGGCTGCTCAGACAGAGAATCTGTCTGAAATGATTTTGAATGAAAAAAAACGTTCCCGTTAATTTGCAAATATCTACGTGCAGTATCTACGACGTATCTTTAAGCCATAGAATAATAAATTTTATTATTTAATTTATTATAATTTATTTATAATAAATTAATTTAAATTAAAATATCAGAATAATAACTCCAAATTACATTTGCGAATAAGATTCAACAGATTAATTATGGTGCATTTTATATGGTAATTTTAAAATTACCGGGAAGCCGATAAGTGATCGAGCGGCTGAGATAGCGAAACACTGATAGTCTGAGCTGCATTCCATTTCTGGTCATTGAATGGGCCAGCTGTGTGAGGTCTTTATGGTTTTCCTCACATGTTATGTAGATACAACTCAGTGTCTTAAAAAAGTTCTCCAGGAAGTTGTGCCTCCCTATGAAGGCCCGTAGATTCCTGCTTGCAGTAATTGAGTAATTTATCTAAATTTTCATCCAGGTTCCTTCCACAGAATGTTTTTCTTTTATTAACCTTAAGCTGAAATATAATTTTAAAACGAACTTTACAAAAATCTCTCTCAGATATAAGAACAGTAATTATGTTAAGTGTTTTATATTAAATAGTTTATATTAAACAGAACATACTTTTAGTTATAACAAAATAACAATGTCTTCAATCACGTGCAGTAAATAGTTGCTATCGGCATATTTCGTCTCATTTGAATAAATTTGTGTTTAGAAAAGAAGCAGAGAACAATGAACATAAACAATGAATATTTCAGAATATTTCACTGAAATTAATCGATGCTAGTAGCTTAATTTAAAATTGTATAGTAAAGCCACAGGTTGTTTAATGAACTGGAATGAAATCAACAAGCAGTTTGAGTAAGTTCCAAAGAGTGTCGGACTAATTTTATGTAGAATACTATCAGAAAGAGTGAGCTTCCAGGAATTTCGTTGCTCTTGGTGATCTTACCTTGGTTTGAAATCAAAATTTTATCTCTGTTTTTGAAGCTAGAAGACGCCAAATCGGAGAGAGATAATAAAACTTTAAAATACAATTTTAACCTAAGTTTTCATTTATACTAAAGTTGCTTTTCTTTTTAAGTCACGTGCATTTTTTTGTCGGAAGATTTATGCTTAAAAATGCATTTTGTGTTATTACCATATAA